GCCCCTGTCCAGTCTCCCCCAACCTGCACTTGGCCACGGCGGGGAGCGCGGCGGTGTCTCCTTGAAGCGCGCGTCAGTCGGCGTGTGGCTCTAGTTCTTGTGTCCCGTGGTGACGGCTGCAGAGGGGGGACGGGCTGGCTGGGTCAGGCCGGCTGCGGGCTCCCAAGGACAGAGTGCCCGCTTCGTGCCGCAGACACGTTTGGCCTTCACCTGCGGCAAGGGGAGGGGACAGGCTCTCGGAGTGGCGGGAAGACGGGTTCCTGCCTCGCTCTGGAGGGCTTCCAGGACTGGAGGCAGGAACAGCGGGCACAGATGTCCTGAATCCGTGGCCCTGATCTCACTGGGGGACACCTGTTCCGTCTGTGGAGCTGGCACAGACTTGGGCTCTGGGCAGGCCCTCCGTCTCCCGAGGGCGGCCGGGCCTGCGCCGGGAGGGGGTCCGGGCTTGGCGCGTCGCAATGATTGCCGCCATCTGGGGATCGGCCACCTCCTCCCCCGATTGTCTCCTGCCCCTGGGTCAAAACAGTGTCACCTTGTGCTCCTGTAGGGCTTTGTCTTTCAAAAGGCGTTTCTGTTGACCCTTGTTGGAGGCCACAGACACCCGGCCCGGGCGGGAGAGCGGGCGGCCTCACGTGTCTGGCACCGCAGGGCTGGGGCCCGGAGAGGTCCGCGGCCTCCGCCGGGGCGGGGGGCCGTGTGCCGAGGGCCTGTGGCCTTCCTCTGTTTCCTGTGCACGCCTGGGGAGAGTGGCCCAGGAGGTCTTTGTGGTGATGGCGGAGGGGTTACGGTTCTCGGGGTTTGCACAGAAATACGTGTGGTGTTAGCGTGTGGTGGTTAATCATTGCCTCGTCCCCCGAGCAGTGTTGCGTTCTGTCCACGTGGCCCCCGATCCGCCCTGGGCAGACGACGGAGGGGCCGGCTGGTGGCCGAGGGCGGCGTCAGAAGGTCCCCGGAGCCGGGTCGGCATGGGGCCAGGCCGGGAGCCCGCCTGCCTGAGCGCCCTGAGGAGCTGGTCTCCCTCCTCCGGGCACCTGTCCCTGCTGCCTTGTCTGAAACCATGGGGGAGGCGGCGCGCTCAGCCGGCGAGGCCGCTGGCCCCTGCAGCCCCCGGGAGGCGGGGCACGTTCACCGTCTCCCAGGCGCGGCTGCTCGGGGCGGCGCCGGGGCTGGCCCACGGGGCCGTTCATCTGGCCCTGCCACAGGGCACTGGCCTGGAAGCCGCCTCCGTCATAGCCTCAGCCTGGCTCTGCCCTTCCCTGAGCGCCCTTGAGCCAAACCCTCGGTGTCGGGACATTGGTGTCCTGCCACGTTGGAGCCGGGGACCTCGAAGGAACCCCCAGGGCCAAGGCCCTTCCCAGCTCGTCCCTCCGGGACGCGGTCTCCACAGCCCCACCTGTCCTCGTTTCGGCCCGCCCGCCGGCTCCCTCATGGGCTCTTCTCATGGACAGACCTTTGTCCCTGGGGTTTCCCTACCCCTTTCTCTCGGTGCGAGAAGGCGTGGCCGCGCTGTGATTGCCCGGCCCCCGCTCCCTTCCGTTCGCCTGGGCTCGCTGTCCTTGGATGCAGGTGAGCAGGGCATCGGCCCTGGGCGAGGCCTGCTGGGCGGTCGGGTGGGGGCGAAGAGTCCGGGGCTGCCTGAAGGTGGTACCGCAGCTAGATAACGTCTTACGCCTTCTCGCCGCCCAGCAGGAAGGGCTACCGGTTCCGTCCCTTGTTGGATGGGCCTGCCTTGTACTAGGCGTGCAGGGCACAGCGGTGACAACCACCACGGCACCGGTTCTTGCCGTCTAGTTGGGGACACAGCGAACCCAGGAAGCGGACGGACATAACTCACAGCTCTGTGCGTAGCCCCGTGTGCTGCGCGACAGACCGGGGCAGGGAGCTGAGGGCTGTGAGTGCCGTCCTGCCCTCCAGCACCTCTGCAGCGGGCGGTCCTCTTCCCGATTACAGAACAAGAACTGAAGCTCGGGTTCCGAGGCAGGCGGATCTGGAGCCCAGGCCCCTTGCGCTCTGCCTGCTCCTGCCCCGAAGAGCCTGTGGCTCTGTGTGGGGCCACCGCTGACCCCGGCACAGTTGACGGAGGCGCCTGCCGTGTGTGGCGTGAAGGCCCCGCAGTCGGGCCCTGCTGCGCTCGGTGCTGCGCCCTTCAGCGCCGGACGGGGCTTTCTGCCGGGCTCCTCGGAGTCCCCTGGGCACGCGTGCCGCTCGGGGCCATCCAAGGACCGGGGCGGGGTGGACATCTGGATTGCGGGCTCCCTCTGTGGCACCCCCGTGGGAGACCCCCTTTCACGGCCCTCGGGCTGCCCTGTCTCTGGCGTCCGCCCCACTCGGTGCCTGAGACGCTCAGCCTGCGCTCCTGACGGCCGAGGCTGCGCCGCGCGACTGGGTGCTGGGCGGGCACCACGCGCAGCCGCTCCCCAGGCACCGGCCTCGGCCTGCTTCGGTCTCTCCGGTGCCTTTGGAGTTTAACGAATGGACTTCCTTTTTTTGGGGAGTGATTTTATGGTTAAGGAGAAATTGGGGAGCAAGGACAGAGTTCCCGTAGGCCCTCCCTCCAGTCTCCTGTTAGCGGCCTCTTGCCCAGCCGGTGCACTTGTTACAGTTGAGCCGCTGTTGATACATTGTTGTTACTCGTCGTCCACAGCTGTGTCGCCACTCCGTGTTGTACCGTCTCTGCAGGGTTATTTTATATCTTGTCCAGACTTCTGTTTTCTGTTTGGAAGATCCCCCGTCCGATGACACAGTTGCTCCGACGTGATCAGAAGCAGAATGACCTGAGCGTGAATTTCTGGGTCACGTATGTCTTCTTCTGGTTTCTGGAAACACTCGTGAATACAGGGAGTTCCCCGGGGAGGGGAGGGCAGAAAGCCCAGCAGGTCGGGGGGTGAGGGGGTGCTGGGGGCCGTCGGGCTGTTGCGTCAGGCCAGGCTGCCTTCCTGCTGTGATCCCTGTGCCGGGAGACGCTGCAGCTGCGAGTGTGTTGTCGTCTTCGGGGGCTGGTCTGCGGAAAACCGGGTGGAAGCAAGAGCGTGGGAACACTCGGCGAGCTCCCCCTCTGGCTCGGAGGCGGAGGTTGTGCAGAAGCTTAAGAGACATAAGTACCTGGAGCCCTTTGGTGAACCTTGTTTGCAGTTAACACCTGCTTATCTGGAAGGTGAAACCACAGATAAACCGATCAGATGATCTCACACCGAGATCGTCCAGTGCGGCTGCGTCTTCCTTGTAGCGTTTCCTTTCTAGGTGCTGAGGACAGAGGCCGCTGGCGCCCCAGCATGGGCGTGTCCGCTGTGAGCTCTGCCCCCCGCAGAAGGCTGCTCCTCTGCCCAAGGAAAGCTGCCCAAGGCTGTGCCTCTGTGCCTGGCACCCCGTACTCCCCAAGGCTTCGGGGTCCCCAGCCCAGGGGCACCCTTCCTGAGTGGGGGGGGGGCTGGGCAGAGGGAGCAGTGGGACGGGTCCCATCCAGGCAGGCGTGTTCAGGCCCAGCTGTGAGTCCTGGGTGGCCGAGATCAGTGTGGAGGGCCGGGCAGCCCCGGGCCAAGCTGCAGCAGCGGCCTTGCTTGGTCGGGAGGTGTCCTGCCTCCCGCCGGGGTCCTGAGGGCACAACCGCCAGGTCAGCCCCAACGCCGTGGGTTCGGGGAGGAGCCGTCAAGGCACCGTCTGGGAGGAGCAGGGGGTGGGGGGCGCTATGCCGGGCCGGAGGGCCTTCGGGGGTGAGCGGCCGCGGCACCGGCCCCGCCTCCTGCCTGGCCCTGCAGGTCACTGGTGCGTCGACGCACCGGGAGGCCTGGGCTGGCTCGGGGGGCAGGTACCAACCACGGTCAAACCCAACCGTGCTTGAGACCGGGGGGGGCCGCCTGGGGGCCCCGGCGCCGTGCACGCACCGCTCACCCCCGGCCCCCCAGACCCTGGCTCGTCAGTGCACCGGCGCAGCGGTGGGTCAGCCTGGCAGGCCCTCGGGCGGCCCTGCTGGCTGGGGCCAGCCTTAGCCCCAAATTTCAGGAAGAACCTGCTGTTCCTGTAGCCACAGGAAACACGTCCTGACTCCCAGGCTTACGCCCCCCGCGGACGCCGCCTTTGCTGGGGAGCCTGGAGACCCTCTGGGGCTAAGTCCCCAGGAGCCCCTGGGCCCTGTCACAGGACGTGCCTGTTGGAGGGGAGGCAGCGTCCAGCGGTGGGTGTGGGCCAGGGAAGGCGCCCAGGCTGTGTGTAGAATAAAAACCCACACTGCAGAGCAACGCGAGCGACGCGCACCTTGTTTCGGGGAGCACGTACCCCCGCGCGTCCCTGAAGGTGGCGGCCCCTGTCTCACAGACGCACGCCCGGCCGCCGGCCCGCGGGTTTTCCTCTCTTGCGCTGCGTGTTGTGGGTTATTTGCATAGCGTGCACTGAGGAATTGTTTGTGTAGTAAACCATAACCTGCGTGGCGTTCTGTTGAGTCAGGTTAAAAATTTTAATAAAATATAATTAGCCCATTCTTTTCCTCCAATTAGGAACTTACTCAAGTGTGTGAGTTCTCTGAAACACCAGGGCTCACGCGGTGACCTGCCATTGATTTTCTCTTTTAATTCCCTTTCCTTTTATTTATTTATTTTTTGAGTGCTTGAATATGCACACAGCAGGTTTGTGCAAGAGACTTCTCCCTGATCTCCTGGGACTCCCTTCTGGAACCCCGTGTCACAGGGAGGAAGGACGCGCAGGACGGCCACCGTGCGGGTGCCGGACGGTCGAGGGAGGGTCTTCGCCCGAGCCTTCCCAGAGCCGGCCGCGGAGCCCGGCGGGGTCAGCGCCGCCCCTCTGGGGGAGACTGCATGACGAAGGAAGCAGTCGTTGCTCGTTGGTTTGGCTTGTATGCATGAAGTTAGAAGGGGTCGCCCCTTTTGGCTCCTGCAGAATGGGGCACCGAACTGGGTGGCCCCCAAAGGCCCACCCGGTGCTGCTCACGCGCCGCGGCGGGAGCGTGCACCAGCCCTGTTCTCACTGAGCGTCTGTTCTCCCCGCAGTACGTCGGGAGCCTGGACGTGCCGCGGCCCAACAGCAGAGTGGAGATCGTGGCTGCCATGCGCCGGATCCGGGTGAGCGCTGGAGGCGGGGCTGCCCCCCGGGCCCCTCCCCCCACTGCAGGGCAGCAGTGTCCCCAAGGGAGTTCGGCCTTGATTGCAGGCCAGGGTCACAGTGGCTGGGGTGGCTGGAGGGGCCCATCCTTGTTCCCAGCCGATCTGCCGCTTCCCACCCCGAGACGCCTGGCACCAGGCGGTGGATGGGTGGGGCTGCCAGGGCTTGGGGGGGCCTGGGGGGCCTTATGCCGTCAGAGACGTTGGGGGGAGGCTGGGTCAGGAGCGGTTAGTGAGCGCCAGACACCAGAAGCGTGAAGTCATTCATCGCGATGCGCAAGGTAAGGTTGACTTGGGTTTTAAGATCGAATGTGGGGTCCCAGCCACTCCCTGGGTGGTCGTGCTGGGCTCTGGAAACACCTGTCCCACCCCACCCCCGCCCCCGTCCCGCTTTGCAGGGCCCACAGGAGCGTGAGCCGGGGGCCCCCTTCCAGCTCGGGCGCAGGGCAGCGGTGAGCACTGGGCGCCTTCCGGCCGCTGTGAAGGGCCCTGTCCCGGTGCCCCGCCTGCACTGAGCAGAGGCGGCCGCTTAGGTCTGTGCGCGTTGGAGGAGGCCTGTGATCGATCAGGCGAGTTGTAGTGACTCCGCGGGGTGTCTGCGTCGTTGTCCTGGGTGCAGCCGACACAGGCTCTTTGTCTTTTAGGGGAGCCTGCTGCTGCCATGACCTGTCAGCCGTAGGGCCATGCGCTAGAAGCTCTGTCGCTGCGACCTGCTTCCGGGGCTTACTGAGCAGCTTCTTAAGTAGGAGGGAGGAACCGAGGGGCCGCGAGCTGTTTGGTCAGCTGTCCAGACGCTGCGCAGACTGGCTGCCACCAGCAGCTCGAGCCCTGGGCGGGTGCTGTCCCCCAGCCCTGGCACACCGCCGGGCCCGGCCACCTGGGCGGAGGCCGCGCTTGTCAGGAACGGGGGCAGGGGGTTCTGTGCAGAGGACTGTTCCCGACTTCGCCCTTTTCCGTTGAATGGGGCAAGGCCAGTGTCGGGCAGGTCAGGGCGGGGCTTGGGCGGCCGGGCGCTTTACAGACTCACGAGGCCTGGGCCTCCCAGCCTGGTCGCCAGCGGCCAGCCCCAGGGTGCGGCCCGGGCCAGGGCCAGGGCGTTCTCACGCGTGCCGTGCGCCGTGCGCCATGCCTGGCCGCCCCACGGGCACCCCTCCCTGAGCCCGCGTGCAGCTCCGCCCAGTGCCGTGGACAGGGCAGCGCAGGGGCAGGCCCCCTCCGCCCCCGGGAGGGTTAGACTCGCGCTCCGCACGGGCTCCTCTCCTTCCCAGCCCCGCGCCGCGGCGACTGACTGCGCTGAGCTGCACAGCAGTCTGGGTTCCGTCGACTGGGGTTTCTGCCCTTCCCTCTTCCCGGGTCTCAGGTGTTATCTCGCCACATAGGGATTTCTTTCTAAAATGTATTATCACGCTTGGGAATATTTTCTTTAACTTTCTTTTAATGTGCGTTCAAGATCGCTGGGGGCTAAAAACCACCTCCCAGAAGCCTGGCCGGGCGCTGCGTGCGCCCGCGTGGCGGTGCAGGGCTCCCCACACCTGTCACCCTGCACAGCGGGAGCGCCGCCCCCGTCAAGCCCTCTGCCGCCCGCCCTCCGCCCCGAGCCCGGCCCCCAGCCCTGGACTGCACTTCGGGTCGGACGCTGCTTTCGCCCCAGGTACAGCCCTCAGAGCTTCACAAGCAACAGCCCCTCCTGCACCGTCGGGGCCCCGGGGGGCGAGGCAGGGGCACCGCTGCCTGCTCAGGCTCCCGCCCGCGACTCTCAAGGAGCCCCCTTCCCTCCTCCTCCTCCTCCTCCTCCTCCGCCTCCTCCTCCTCCGCCTGCGTGCCCCCCGCCACCCCGTCGGCGAGGACCCCGGAAGCACGTGGCTGGGGCTGCAGGACCACGGCTCCCGGCTCCCAGGCCCCGGCAGGGCGGCCCTGCCCGCCCACGGCCGGCCCGCGGGTGTCAGCAAGGCCACTCTCGGCTTCTTATAAACTCCCCGTAGACGCGGGGGCGCGGAGGCCCCGGGGGACACCCGTGGATGTCCCAGAGGCTCCTGAAGCTCGGCGTGTCCCAGGCCGACTCCGCCGTTTCTGCAGCCCCTTCTCTCTGCTCGGAGCCCCTTCCCTGTGTTTTTCTTCTTTCTTCCAATGCCTCTCACCGGGAGGCCTCTGCCCCACACGGGAATGCGAACCGGAGGCCGCAGGGTCGCCTGCGACACTTCTGTCAGCGGCTCCCACATGAGTCACCCTTACGCTGCCTACACGGTTCTCCAAGGCGCGTCTCCCTCTCCCTCCCCAGCCAGGAGGCCCAGGTCATCCGATGCACAGACGCTGGCGGTGACTCTGCCGGGTGCCCGCCCGCCGCCTCCGCCCTGCTGCCTGGCTCACGTGTCTGCGGGTGGGTCTGAGGGAGTAGCGGTCTCGGGACCACGTGGTTCCCCGCCTACAGACTAGACGCCGAACTCCGAGTTCCCCGGGCCCCGTGAAGGCCCTGCACGTGTCCTGGGGCCACCTCTGCCTGGGAAGTGCCCCTTCTCTCTGTGGGCGAGTCTGTCTCCTCCGGTGTCCTCCACAAGCCCCCCTTCTAGAAGCTTCTCTCTAGAGACCTCTGTGCATTTACCATGCTGGTAAAGGTAACAGAAGAAGGGCTCTGAGCCCCCAACCCTGCGTTCTGCGGAGAACACCGCCCTCCGTGTGGAGCAGGAGGCCGCCGGGGCTGCGCGGTTCAGGCTGCGTGCCCGGCCAGGCCGGCTCAGATCGGCTGGTCGCCGCCCAGCTGCAGCCTCCGCCAGAGATCCCCCGCTCAGGGTGGGGTGGGCAGTCCCTAGCGGTGGACGACTGGGAGGTCAGAATCCAAAGGGGCCTGGGTTTCAGGAGGGGCAGTGGATGCAGCAGCCCAGCAGGGCCGCTGCCAGGTGTGGCCGTCCCTGCCCTGCCCCCGCCCCCAGGCTCCACCTGTCCTGCAGGACCTGCTCTGCCTTTCTTCCGAGGCACCACGGCACCGGCCGCCCCGGACAGCCCCACCCAGTTCTCTCTGTTACCCAAAGCTGCTCCTTAGACCCAATGATACCTCTCGGTTGGTTTCGCACATCTGGTCTTCATCTGGCTGGACGACAGCTTACGTCAGAGGTCGTCTGCCTTTAAACCAAACAACTGCCCTGCCGGGGGCCAGAGGCGGGGCGTCTAGCCAGATGGGGGACTGAGAGAGCTCATCCTGTACTGATTAAGGGTTTTCACTGAGTCCGCTCCCAGGCACCCGGCATTTAATTGCACGGCGGAGCACTCGCCTGCCAGGAGGCGGTGCCCAGGTCTCTGCACAGGCCCGCACGGCCCAGTGGCAGCGGTCGTCCGACCTCACAGCGCGCACTGCGCCGAGCGCCCGGCCCCTGGACCCGCCGCAGCCCCCGCACAGGCCTGCACTGGTCAGGCCTCGGGCCGCCTGCTGTCCGTGCACTCCGGGGGCGGGGGCGGCCTTCCGGAGGAGGCGCGGTGGGCGCTGAGCTGGAAGGTGGGCGCTGAGCCGGCCTGGCCACGCTCTGCTCGTGGGGGTCCGGTGAGGACGGCGTGTGGAGGAGGGGCAGCGCGGCCCGCGTGGGCCGTGGGCCGTGGGCCGTGGGCCTGACCGCAGGTCGGAGGCAGGCCGGCCCCGGCCCTGGAGGCCTTCACCGCTCCGTAGCCCAGGCCCAGAGCTCGGCACCTCGGGGCTTGGTGGAGCCTGGCCTTGCCTGCAGGTGCGACCCGGCCACGTGACTTCCAGGGCCCCTGCCAGCCCGCCTGCCCTCGGCCAGGCCCACAGCGAGCGCCCCCGCGGGCTCCCACCCTGGCCCGGCAACACTGCTTCTCTTTCCCGCCTTTTCCTCTGCTGCGTGGCGGGCTCTCCCTCCCCAGGCTTCCTCTTCTCGCCCTTTTTCTGTCCTCACCCAAGGATGTGTGGGTTCATTTTAGGGACGGAGCCGGGAGGGAGAGGCATGTGGGGGAGGGGCCGCTCAGCTGCCCCTGCACAGGCCTCGGATGCTGTGCACACGGAACAAGCCTCCCGCCTAGCACGCCGCCGGCCATGAGGACGCATGTAAACTGGCCCAGGAGCTCAGGCCGTGGGCCGTCGGGAGGTGGGGGCGGAACGGGGCGGAGGGGAGTGTGGGGCTGAGCGCAGCCTGGGTCTGGCAGCCAGGCCCCCCTGGGGGGCTCGCCCGGGGCCCTTGGATGGAGCCTGCACTGCTGCCCCGAACCCCCCCCGAACCGCCCACGCTGCAGGGCCACGCCTGCCTGGAGCAGATTGCTTGAAGCAGCTGTCCAGCGGCCTCAGTTTGATTTCCTTCCAGCCCCAGCGCGGGCACGGTTCACACGATGGCATTCAGCTGGGAAGGACCCTGAGCCCCTGAGGCCCGGGCTGTGCCCTGCGGTGCCTCTGCCACCCCGACTCATCGCACCCTCTGGCACAGAGGCCTGGGGGGGCACCCAGCTCCTGTCTGCGTGTGTCCTGTCCCCAGGTGGAGGTGCGGGGAAGACACCCCGCGTCCCCAGGACTCCCAGGGCTGTTCCTGGATTTCCTGAGTTGCCTGAGGATCTGTGTTTGGGCTGTAGGGGAAGATAAGGGATTCCAGAGATTCCTGCTGCTCTCCTGCAGAGAACTGGCCGGCTGCCCCGCCTGCCCCTCCCCCGCGGGGCGGACGCCGGCCTGCCTGAGCTCTGCGCCTCGGCCTTTCGTCCTCGCGACCTGTCGGCCCGCCCGTCTCAATGACGACAAGCGTTGTCCACGTGGGCCCACCGTCCCTGCAGCCCGACCGCGCCCTTGTCCGTGGGGACGCAGTGATGCAGGCCTGGTGCGTGTCTGCCTCCGGCATGCGGTCGGGGCTCAGCTCACAGTCCACGGCTGCTTGGGCGGAGGCGACTGTGCCCCGGACTCAGGGGAGATGTTTGGGGTTTCCGGTCAGCGACAGCTTCTTGGCCTCCTGACCTTGTGTCCTAGGTGACCTGAGGGA